GTATTCTACCTTCGCAGCAGGTTTCCAGATTGCCAGACCAAAGCCACAGAATTGTGAGAAGTGGCTTGAAAACGGGTGAAGATATTGACGCACGCGTTGGGACATTCGTGGTCTCGGTTTTGGGACAACTTTATTTCCAGTGGGGTGCCCAACCTAATCACTCAGGAAATATTGGCCAGGTTGGCGTTGTCCACTTTATGCTGTTTTCATATGTTTTCACCAGAAGGAACTTTATTTTGTATTTCTGGTTTAGGACCCCATACTCATGTTGTCAACAGATCTTTGCCAGGATAGGCCCTGAGAACTTTATTTTACTGCCAGTTGTTGAAGTCGAGACGTGTTTTTTTGCAAATAGCAGATAGAAGGTGATGAGCAAGCCAGGAAGTCGATACACTATAGCGTTTCCTTGCAGGATAGAGTGTGTTGGAAGATGTTTTCTAAATGCATGGTTTTATTCAATGGGCTTGGTTTATTCAGCGTTCACAGTGTTTTGATTGCACAAGACCTACCGCAAGGAAGTTGGCAGGCAACCCATAGGTTGTTTCTAGAGGTTTCTATAGGCAGCCCATAGGTTCCCCTTCATCTTGGGATTGTGGGTCTCATATGTCCAACCCTCCAAGGGCTTATAGGGCCAACCCTCGGAAGCAGGGTCCGCGTGGAAACCTGGCTTCCGCTGTGAAGCGGGCACACTATTGAGTGGCATGAACTTGTGCCAGATGAGGTGTGCCCTTGGGGGAAAGCTTGATTGGGCTACCTTCGCTGGTGCTGCCGGTCTGCTGCTGGTTTTCTGCTGCTGCTGCCTTGCTGCTGCTGGTTGGCTACTGCTGCTGCTGGCGGTTGGCTGCTGTTGGTTTGCTGCTGGTTGGCTGCTGCTGCTGCTGGCTGATTGCTGCCGGTGCTGCTGCTTGCTGCTTGGCTGCTGCTGGTGCTGCTGCTTGCTGCTTGCTGCTGCTTGTCGCTGCCGCTGCTGCGGCCTGGGCTACAAGGCCTACTCATTTGCTGCCTGTCATTGTCTTGCACGCCCTATGATTATAGCAGGCTTCTTCCATTGCAGACTGGGCATTGGAAACGTGATATCAAGCTTGGTGGCAGGCCTGTTTGGTGAAACGCGGTGCCCCATGCGGAAACAAGTATCGCAAGGACGCTGCCGTGACTTAGTCGCGGCGTGGTGTCCCAGTTCTTGATTGGTTGCCACAGCTGCATTGCAAGGACTTTTGTGTTTGGGTGTTAGTGGGCATGGGTCTTCTGGGCAAACGTGTTCATCTCGCCCAATACCTCGCCCACATCTCGCCCTCTATCTCGCCCAACCCACCAGGCACCAGGACCTCCAGAGGTGTGCGATGGGGATTGCCATTGTCACAACACATATGTGTATATAAGCAAAGGCCTCTTCAATTTACATGGCCCCCCCAGGCAAGGCGCGATTTGCAGGGTTCATGTTTTCAAGCGTTCATGTTCACATTTTTCGCAGGTGTGCCATGCGGAAGTGTGTCCTGCACAGTCGTTGAAAGACAGGAACGCGCGCACACAGACACCAACGAAGGCAAAACACAAGCTAACCATTGTTTTTTGTGGTCTTAGCTTACTTCTGGCAGAGATCGGAAGCCGATGTGCCATGGGCCATGGCTATAATGTAGGATTTGCTCCTGTGATGTGGGATTGGTGAAAACGGTGTGCCACGGGATGATGTGGTTTCTAGCCTCTGCTGGTTGGGTGCTGCTGCTGCTGCTGCTGCGCTGCGCTGTTTTGCTGCTGGTGGTCGGCTGCTGCCAGTTGCTGCTGGTTTGCTGGCGCTGGTTGGCTACTATACTGCTGGTTAGCTGCTGCTGGCTTGGTGCTGCCTGCTGTTTGGCGGCTGCTGGTTTGTTGCTGCCGGCTTGCTGCTGCTGTTTGGCCGCTGCTGGTTACCTTCTGCTGCTGTTGGGTTGTTGGTGTTGTTTTGCTGCTGGTTGGCTGCTGCTTGCTGCTGCCGCTGCCGCTGCCTGCGCTACAAAGCCTACTCATTTGCTGCTGGCTGTTGTTGCACAAACCCAATCATTGTGGCAGTGTCCGGTTGTAAACTGGGCTTGGAAAGCATGGTTTTGGCGAAAACTAAGTGACTCTGCCGTGACTTAGTCACGGTGTGGTGTCACAGAATCGGTGTGCCATGGGGGTTGGATCATTTCAGCCCATAGGAAACCTTAGAACCCATCAACGTGTAGAAGATTGAACCGCAATGGAATGGTGTAGGTTTAGAAACAATCTAGGCTAGGAGAAAAAGTGCTTGTTTCGAAGCGGTGTGCCATGGGGATTGAGAGAGGAATACACACAAGAACGCATAGATATTTCTGACGTTTAACGAACCATTCCATGCTGTTTGCACTCCAGGTAGAAACTTAAAGCAGGTACCAACATGTGGGTCAGAATCGGGGTGCCATGGGGATTGGATCACGGCAACCCATAGATAACCTTTGAAAACATCAACATGTAGAAGGTTGATGAAGGTTGAATCGCAATGGAATAGTGTAGGTTTAGAAACAATCTAGGAGAAAAAGTGCTTGTCTGGAAGCGGTGTGCCATTTTGTCCAAATGGGGTAAGTTCTTACATTCGTGGGGTAAGCGGTGTGCCATGGGGGTGGGTCAAGTTCATGTGCGATGGGGTAAGTTACCACGTCGGGTAGCTCTCCAAATTGCGTTGCCATTGGGATTTGCAGTTGAAGTTTTCTCTTTTTGGAAAGGTGAATCTGGAGAACCTTGTTCTGTATGTAGCGTTTGCAATGGGGAAGGCCAGCAGTCTTGACTTAAGTACTGACTTTTGCAAATCGGCGTTCCATGGTGGTTTAGTATCCCACATGCAAAATGTATTAACTTCAACGTGCACCAGTATTTTTTCGGGGTGCCTAAGGAACCTGGTGATAACAGAGGGGTATAAAAAGGGCCAGCCACTTCATCCAATCAACATGGATGGACATGGATGGTGAAACCGAGCCAAACCGTGCAACATATTGCTATAGATCCCCATCGAAGACGGATGTTGAGAGCAAAGCAGGTAACACTTGTTCCTCCAGGAACTGAACAACATGGGACTAGGGTGTGGCCGATTGGGAGTCTCAGTCGGAAAACGATTCTCCCTATTTTCATGAAAGGCCTTTAGTAACAATGATTATCCATCATCATCATCATCATCATCCACTGTTATGACGGTATACTGGTAATGGGATATGCTCAGCATAGGGCCCCCTCAGCTTTCCAGGCAACTGCCTTGTATTGAATGCACCCACGTCCACGCGGAGTCAGGTCTCGTGCGAGCCGACCTCGCAGAAGGATGCGGACAAATTGGGCGAAGCTCTGAACAAGTTGGCTGCAGAGGAGCGGGCGCAGAAGGGGTTGGAGTTGCCTGGAGTTCTTTGGCAAGGGGCATGGCACCAGGATACCTTGGTTGGCCTGCTTGGTGTTGGTCAAGCTACATGGTGTCCAGGTCTTGACCTATCCCCACTTGAATAATAAGAATGATGGGACCCTTTGGGAATCTTTTGGGGGGCTTACTGTCAAGGTTGTTTGATGGTGGGGGTTGGGGAATGTATAGTTTTGTAATGTTTTTGTATACTTATTTTATGACAATATTTAGCCAGCATTTTCTCCGACGACGGCCTTGGATAAGACAGCTGATCATATTTTTCACATTTCACCTCAGATGCGGCCCTTCGACCCTTCACTGCACTGCCACATACTGTACAGATGTTTGTTCACAGCCGCCCACGCTTGTCGGAAAGACGTCATCAAGCACTTCTGTACCATGTTCCCTTGGGCATCCCAGCCGGGATGCACCGTCGTAACCCAGACGAGAAAGTCGACCAGTGAACCTTTGACAGGACCCTTCCTTCCGCTACAGCCGCGATGAAGAGTCCAACCAGACGGTCGCCCGCCAGTCAGTTGAAGCTGAGTTTCTTGCGGCTTCTTGTTACTTGAGTGCCGTACATTTCCCCCATTGGCATGTTTCGCCCATGGATCTCCACGGACTTCTACAATGCAATCTTTCGTTTCACCCGCTTTCCAGTTGGACATGGTCGTCCCAAACAGAGCGAGCCCCGAAACCGGCAGCCGACACATGAGGTTCGAGCCCTAAAAAATCATGAGAAACCACTTCCATGAAAACCAAGAAAGCGAAGAAACAAAGCCAGTCCTGAGACGTGTTTCCTGGTCAAAGGGGTTGATTTTTAAAGTAACCTTTGGGAAGTGGATGTGGATGTGGATTATATATGGAGAACCCTTGGCAATGCAGTGCATTTTTGGGAGGGCAAGTTGCATTTATGACATATATTGTTCTTGTTGTTGTTGGGAGGAGGGAGGGGGCGGGTTAAAGCAACATTTATCAACATTATGTACTCAGAAGCTCATGTTTCCTCCTGGTTTTTCCTTTTGTTTAAAAAAGATCCACCCCCCAGACAAGAGAGGAAAGGCATGCAAACCAAAGTGGACATGCGTGAAAACACATGCATCCACATGCGTGCTGCTGACCTGCATGCTGCTCCAGGTCATCGAGGGCATGGGGGAGCTGCACTTGGAGATTATCATTGATCGCCTGAAGCGAGAGTTTAAGGTGGAAGCCGAGGTCGGCAAGCCGCAGGCAGAGTCGCCAGATGTCGGGCCGCGGTGCGGGGTAGGTGCCGAGGTGGTCGGAATGGTGTCGGGAGAGTTGAGTTTTCTTGAGGGTTCTTGGATGGGTGCTTGTGGGATGGGGTGGGTCTTAGTATGTCTTAGTTTTCGTATGTTTCTGGTTTTTGTGTGCTTGGAAAGGTGGTTGTTTTTGTTCTTGCCGCCGGCTGTCCACATGCAAGGAAGGTACCAATATGTAGCAATAATCGTAATCCATGTACTCCATGGGAGATAGTTGAAAATACGAACGCGGTATCTCACCAGTCTTGCTTTGAGTTTCGCGAAATGGAATATGGCAATTGTATGGGTGGCCTGTAGTTTTGGGATGCCAACCGCACTATCAGAAACCAGAGAGATCACTACCAGCGTGTTGATGTTTTCACGGGTGCTATCGGGTGCTTCATGGTGGACCTGTTGGTTTTTTGGTGCATATTGAATGGAATGGGCTCCAGTGAGTGTGACCCTCATCATTTTTTTCCCATCCCTTTCCCCCTTAATCGTGATTTCGCGAACACCGATCTGAAGCCCTGGTCGCTTAGCAAGATGACCTTTAAGTTGTGACAGAGAAAAGGCATTTGTTCGCATCTGTTCCAAATTTGAGCAACAACATCCAGTGACTAGATCAACATGACCTCCGTTTTCTCCCGCAACACACCGATGCTCGCTGTTCTGCTCGGAGGTGGCCTATCGGGAGACCATTACAGAGCCCATCGAGCTTTGGTACACCCACAAGAAGCAGAGCGGCGGCTCTGGACAGTATGTACGCTGCCCTTAAGTTGGATGGCTTTGGTTGCCCTCCCTCCAAAATCATGGAAGCCGAGCAGACCCCCTTGTCGTTGAACATGGTTCTTCCAGGGGCCTGCGTTTCACTTCCTTGATTGTTTCAGGCTGTGTGTGTGTGGGCATATATCTGGGTATTGGATGGTATTGGAGAATTTGGATCTCATATTGATATTGGTGTTATTCTTATTATTCTTGTCCTCTACCAACTGGAGTCGGTGATGACGTCGCCATGGAAGAGGGTAGCTTGGCAGTTGGCTTGTTGGTCATGTAACATGTTGCATTCCTGTACTCTTTTTGGGAGTTGGCTGCGGGCCATGAATACATAAAGTTTAATGAAATTTGTTGGGTCAGCAGCCAGTGGTATACCCGTGTCAGTTTGGCCCATATTATATATATATATATACATACATATCCCAGCATATCCCAGCTATCCAACATGGGCCCAATCGTTTGCTTCACGCGGAATGAGCGGATGGATGGTTCCGGGGGTGAGGACGGAATGGGACCAACTTGTGGCCGTGGACAAGAGTGTGCCATGCCTCACCAGAGAACATAGTGCGACCACGAGCTGTTCATGTTCTTTTTTGGTGGTACCGACTTGAGCCATTAGGGGGCCCGGGCCCACCAGCTGGTGGTCGCCCAGGCCAAGCTGTGCATGGTCTATGAGCCAAACCCAGGCGAAGGTGCGGGGCATAGAAGCGATTTGGAGTGTGTGGAGCGTGGTGTTTGGTCCTGACTGAGTCGACCGAGGCATGTTCCTGCATGTTCCTACCCTCCCTCAGAACATCATGGAAGCTGAGCAGACCTGCGTTGTAGAGTGAAGAGGGTTTGTTCCAATTCCATCATTGTTTCAGGGAGTGTATGTGTTTGCTGCCTGGCCAACTGCGAGTGGGAGTTTGGTGGCGTTTGACTGAGATGAATCAGATGTAAGGTTCAAACAAAAAGGTGATCAGATCAGATCCAAGGTTTCCCTGAAACCTACAGTAAATTGTATATTATATATGTTGGAAGGCTTGTTATGATATGGCGGTGAGGGTAAGACTAAGATGCACAAGCTAAACTGCACTGACCCCATTCTCCACTGCTTCAACTTAAGCACACACGCACAATAGTTAAACATTTGGTTTGTCCTATTACCTGCAACAGTCAGTAAACAATTGACACTATTTTGGAACAAGGCCTTTACTAAAAATATTGATAAGCTTCATCATCACCACCATCATCATCATCATCCACTGTTAATAGGATAGACCCAAGTTAAACATATATATATATATACACATGTAAATGTGCCAACAGTTTTTGGGTGGGACATTTCTTCATGCTGAGCTATCAGGAGCAACAGACAAATAATGACAAATAGGTGGCTTTTGGCACAAGCAGAGCAGCAGAGCAGCAGAGCGCTGACCAGCTCCATTTGTGAATGGATGCTTTTTTGGATCTTTGTCGTGCAACTGTCCGTTGCCATCCGGGATGCGTCTAGAGGTAGGGTTCCCATAATTTCCTGTATGCCACGCTCGGTCTGTTGGGTGTGTGGGGTCAGGTTTTCTTGGGCTCCTTTTTTTTGGCTCGGAAACGAGGCTACGAGTTCACCAACGAGGTCATTGGCGGAGCCGTGCTCAAAGAGTACATCCCGGGCGTGCCTCAGCTGTGTATTTTCGAGGCCCCCAATAGACATAGATAGAACCATTAGAATCTGCCGGCTGAACTATGGTGATCATCAACGAGTCAATCCGACCTTCTGGGCAGCAGAAGTCAATCCAGGAAGTCCTGTCAGAACCTGCAGTAGAACTTTAGACAGTCAAAGTTCCACTGAACATCAGCGAGAGGGGACCCTGCAAGCAGTGGCAAAATCAGGTTCTGAGATGTGACATCATCGGTTTTTAACCAAGTTCCGATGGACACTTCAAGTGTTGTGGGTTTTTGCCTAACCCTTGTATTAGCATGGGGGCGTGGGGGCGTTGGACTTGCATTGAGGTGATGAAAGGCACTGAGGGTCAGATGATGAATGGCATCCGCATGGGCTTCCCTGTGGTAGTGCCTTGGACGTCGGAGTGGTGCACCACATGTTTTGTGGATGAGGCATGGTGAAACGGCTCCCCCCGTCTTCGATCACGTGGCTTTGAGGACTGGTTGAGCTACGTGTGATGCCACGCGCTGTTTCTTTTCTTTTTGCGCGTCAGCCTGATGTGGGAAATCGTAGGGCACAAGGAACGCAACATGGCGAGGGATGGGATCCCCATAGTTGTTTGCAAATCTGGTCACGGTATCCGGGCTTCCTCTCCTTCTTGGGCCAAGGACATGTGTTAGTTTGAATGGCGGGGTCAAGCTGGTCAAGCTAACCCCGAAAAAGGTCAGAGAAGATCACCTTGTTGTGTGGGAGTTGCATAGACTGCATAGACCATAGAGTTGACCTGAGTTGCCCTGAGTAGAACGCATCCCATGAACACCAGAAGCCATACAGAACCAGTATTTGCTCGGGTTTCATATATCAGTATATTAATAGTATATTGTATATATATATAACTTTAGAACTATGTAACGTATACAGTTTGGATGTTTGAACTTAGGGGATTGATTGCAGGTGGTCACCTGCTGCAACCCATATGGTGGATCATGGTGGGCCATCCACTGAGCTCGCTTCTTCTCATGACCCGGAACGAACTTACTGCGCTGCTACAGTGGAGCAGAACCCCCTCGCTCTACACCGAACGAACGCAGACACCGCAGAAACCGAGCCCAGGATGTGAAGTGCAAGCTGAAGGACGGTGGTTTCCACCCAGTGGACTCCTCCTCCATCGCCTTCGAGATCGCCGCGCGCGCCGCCTTCAAGGCGCAAGAATCCCGTCTTGGGCAGAGGGCAAAGTGAACAAGACTTGGCAAAAGCACCGGAAAAGAATCGAAGATATAAGCTGAACGCAGGGGGTCCTCAGCTAAACATGGAGGCTTTGGGATTTTTGGATCCCCAAGTCCCAAGTCCTTTCAGGTCTCTGTGCTATAGGTGAGCAATTGAAGTTGAAGTGGTCTTCCTCCACTAGCCGGGTGGTTTGCCCAGCACAAGTTCAAGAAGATCAATCAACGAACTGCACTGCATTGGTGTGATGTCCCTTACAATACTGAGTGGGCCCAAGCAACTACCCCGCTGATTTTGAATATTTACCTAAACTGGAACATCCTAGAACACAAGGCGGGTAGCCTTTTTGGACTGGGTTTGCACTGTACATCTCAGAGCCCTTGCACAAGCTCCCGGTTTCTGAAATACCTCCCAATTTGTGATCCTTGCTGTAGGTGCTACTCGTACTTGGGTACGAAAGCTAGTCACCTGTTGCTGCACAGCACAGCTGGCCTTTTGCGAGGCTGTCACTGCGGATGCACACCAATCTTTCATATACCCAACCTTGGGAAATTAATCAGGGAGTATGCAACTTAATATTTCTGGATTGGTTTTTCAAAGCCGTGTAAAATCACAGAGGTGTACCCCTCTAAAATTTGAAAAACATAATCAATATTCCTTTAACCAAAAATGCCCAGACTCAACAGGGATCTAATTAATCAATATGTTATTTATATAGGCTAATTTGGAGAGATTTGAATAGGCGGGGGGCTGATTAATTTCTGGCAGCTGTGACTCATGTGACAGAGAAATAAAGACGGGGTGTGACAGGAGTTAACCACTAGTATCCACTAGTGAATTATTGGACACACGACAGATCAATGAGAGCAGACCTCGCACCTGGGGAAAGGTGCTGAAAAACATGCACGCAGCTGTGAACATTATTGAATTTTAATCAATATAGGTGGGGGCCCTAATCAGAACGGAGGGAAGATCATTTTTCACTCCTGCCACGATCAGATCTGCATGTTGATGTTCAGGAGGGCACCAACCAAGCGAAGCCCATCGTCATGGAGCCCATCATGAAGGTGGAGGTCATTACCCCCGAGGCCTGCACCGACACGCGCGTACGGCTGACACCGCGCTCGCTCCCCGCGGTGTCAAGCGTGGACCATGGGACTCGTGACGGAGCACAGATGACTCAGAGCTGCATGGGATGAGATGTTTTGTTGGGTTTTCTTCTGCTCAGATGGGGTGGACGTTGCTTTGTCCAAGCAACGACCTGGACTGACGTAGTTCGAGAACTCCTGGCGTACCGCAAAAGATGAGCACTGCAGGGATGGATGAGTGATGATTGATGAATGCCTACACCATGGTCATGGCCCGAAACACGGACTTGCCCAGCCAAAGGATAGCCGGTAGTAGGTAGGTGATCCTAAATCACCTAAACCATGGTCAACTAGGATTGTGAGGTGGCTGGAGAAAAACCCAGGTACCCACCCCATCCCACCTTCAGGCACGAAGTGAAACCATAGCCACCCTTCTCCCTTCCACCGAACGCGCGGAATCGCAACACGGCCAGGAATACATGGGCAACATCATCGGGGATCTCAACAGCCGCCGTGGCATCGTCAACGAACTGGGCACCCGTAACAATCTCCATGTGGTGAACGCATCCGTGCCCTTGGCCGTCGGGAAGCTCAGAGAGGCTTCGCTGTTTGAACCAGGAACCATCAGGAACCAGGTTCAGGCAGAATGACATGAGAAACGGCGAAAACACAAGAGCATTGGCTGGTAGTTTGTTGAATGATTCGCAGGGGATTGATGGCGGGCGCCAGGAAATCATAGGAAATCACTAAAGCCAACAAGCATTCCCTGCCAGGGTCATACTACTGTTCTGGACACCTCAGACACCTCGCCTGGTGGACAGCTCTTAACAAGTCACATTTGCGCGGTCAGACGCCACAGAGCTGCTGCTTGCTACGCCCCAGGAGATGTTCAGCTACATCGCGGAGCTGCGAAACCTCTCGAAGGGCCGTGCTAACTACAGCATGGAGTTGCTGATGTAGCAAATAGCACGACAGCTGGCATAGCAAACCAACTTTTAGCACAAAGGCACGAGTTCTTAAGTGGCGCTTTGTTTGAGGTAGGCTTCGAGGTTGTCTTGCAACATCTTACAAGCACATTTTAAGGTGGAACATCACCACCACTGCAGACATGTATATAGTAGTTATGATGTTTTATCTGGTGTTTTTCCCCACTCCAAGAACCAGGTTCCAGAAGTACGAGGCTGTGCCTGAGAATGTGGCAGAGACGATCGAGGCTAAGACTAAGTTCCCGGGCTGCATCAATCTGTAGGCCTGAGAAATGACATTCTGCAGATACATTCTCCCAATCTCCCATACTACTGTGGAATCGACATGAATCGACTTTTCCTTCTAAAAGAATGGACTTTTACATGTGTTTAAATGTTTTTGGATGGTCAATCCTCTAGATCCTCCCTTGCACGTCCAATGTTTCGAGGTCTTCGGGCTGGTAGCCCGCGCGTGATTGGTGATAGGTCAAAATGATCTCACGCACATCGATGCATTTCTTCTACAAGCTCATGGTTTTGGGATGGTTTGGGAGTTTGTGCATCACAGGCTTGTCAGTTTAACATTTTTGGATCCCGGCTCAAATTTCCTCCACGAAGCTAATTCAGGTGGGCTTAATAAATCTGCAAAATCCTCTCATTTTGTAGAGACAAATCTGTGGGATTCTCATTGATAACTGATTCAGTAGCATGTTTTACCCTTGCAAGCCTATACATTGTGGAAGAGGATTTTCTAGAGATTTACCGGTGACTCCAGGGGGGTTGTAGATACCAATAATGTATGTGAATGTATAGTAACCGAGATTTTGTAGTAGTCACAACTCATGGACTCATGATTTGTTTACAAACACTGAATTAATGATTTTGTAGCTTTGCTTTCTACATTGCAGCCAACTTTTTTAGACACATGTTTCTTATGCTTTTTACATTGTAGAGCATGTATCTATTTTGCTTAACGTTTTTTCACGATGCTTCATCGCCTTCCCACAATGCACTTGATCCATCTCTTGAGAATCGTTGGACACGTTGATAGCTGATTATGTAGCATTTGATGTTCATTGCCCAATTGTCTAGAGACAATGTTCTACAAAAAGCCACTCCCACAATGATCATGCTAATGTTGACGTTGATATTTTTGGGGCATACGTTTCCTCACTAAGCAGGAGCAAGTGGAAACAGCTTATTCCCAGGGAAAGTGAGGAACTGAGTGAAGAATTTTCACCATTCCTCACCTCAATCCAACTAATAAGAGAGACAGCAGCATCATGTGGCATCCCTTGACCAATAACTATGCTGGGCAGGTCAAGGCAAAACAGGAAAAAACAATCACACACACAAAAAAACAATTTGATTGCTGATGTGTGATTCCCTGCATTCCTTTTTTTGAGACCGGCACCGGGCCACCCAGGTAATCGATTTCTTCGGCCGCGCTCAGCCGAAGCCAAGCAGACGAAGCTGTTTCGCGCTTTGTGTCCAAGCGCCCCGACATCGCTCAGTTTTCTGCCTGCCTTGGCGATGGCTCAGCGTGTTCTTTCCACCACGCGCCGACGCGAGGGCCGGGCGACCTTCTTTTTCCGCGCGAAGCCCAACTCCGTGGCTGTCAGCGCAGACCAAAACAAGGGCCGTGGGTATCGGGCAGTGATTCCATTGTACTCACACACAATATTTGTCACGGGCTGGTGTTGTGTTTGTTTTTTGGATATTTTTGGTGTTTTTTGTAGCGCGTGTTGCGGAGTGTTCAGGCAAAAAATCCTGGTTCTCTAGATCGATGCGGTGTGTCGCTCTCGCTCTCTCGAGCCATTTTTGCTCGACTCCACGCCACGCTCGACGTGTTGGACCGTCGGACTCGTCGGCGCTCCATGGAGCAACTCGATGAAGCTTTCGGAGCCGTGAAGCAACGAAGCCTTGGTCTTCCGAGCATTTTGCAGACCTGGGCCACTCGGTTCGCGGGTCGGGCGCATTTGCGCATCCGGAGGTGTTTGGGTGGGAAGGTTCTTTTGTTTCCCTTTTCACAGCAGTTCATGTTTATACTCATTGGATTGGATCAACTTTTCCTCGAAGGGGTCCTTTTGCTTTCTTTGCATGTCGCTTTGATTCCTTTTCACAGCAGGTCCATACTCATGAACCAGATTGGCTGCCAGCCAATACAACAGGCAAGGTTAGAAACGCGAGTTCCGGCTTTCTAACCAAGTTGGGCCGATGCATAGCCCGCCTGGGTGTCTTTGTGATGTTAGCCTTGGCCCGCCTGGGCGTCCCGCTGCGCCGTCGATCGGTGAATTGGTACAATGTGTTGGGTACTGAAGGGGTGCAAAGACAAGAAGCCAACGGAAGGGGGGGTTTCCTGCTTTACAAAGTCCATCAACACCTCCTTGCTGAACCAAGCCTACTCACCAGGTCGACCCACAGGCTTCGTTCCTGCTGTGCTACCCGCAGGCTGGGCGGAGCTCAGCTCCAGCAGTCTTTGGCGCCTTCGTCAAAGCCTTGGAAGACTCCTCCGGCCCCGCCGCGGGCCGGGCACCGACTCCGCTCTTCGAGCGGTCGGACTACAGCGCAGCCCTCTCAGTGCCCCGGAGAGTTCCGGCTTCAGCGAGGTCCGAAGGCAAACGACAAGTGAAGTTCTTTGCCAACCTATAAGCCCCGTATATAAGAATTGAAATAATACATATTCAAAAATGTTCAACAGACTCTTCCAAGCCAAAAGACTAATCCCAAAAGAAGTGAAGCCCTAAGCACAGCCAAGAAAAACATACAGCAGCGACAACCGCAAGCCGCAAGCCAAACCCAAAGAGGCCCTAACGAAGCGTAACTTGCAACCCAAACTGGAAGAAACCCTAAGAAAACCACGACTCTGACATGAATACCACTCCCAAACGTTGCAAATTCCAGCGAAACAAGCTGCACACACAGAGAACCGGACTGAAGAAAAAACAAAACAAAGGCGGGAGCACATCCCTGAAACAAGCAGCATCATGCCACTAGGCTGGAGCCAAGCATCCGCTCACAACAAACAAAAGGAGCTGGAGCCTTGAATCAAATGCACCAAGGCACAGCCCAACTGAATGGAAAGTGTTCCGAACATGAGAAGGATGCGCAAATCGAACAAGCGCCAAAGGGACAAAACCACCTCCAAAGGCAAGCGCTTTGGGGCGAAAAAGCTGTTTAACATCGCTGATGTGCGGCATTGTTCTGCCGATGTGCGCCATTATTTTCGCGGCTACTTGAATGATGACAAATGATAGCTTCCACAAATGAACATGAGGCAGTGGTCCACCCCAGAAAACACAGAGAACCAACCGCACCAGCTACTTCTCGCATGCAAAAGTGGTGTTTGTCATCCAGAACCCTGCCGCATAGATTGGTGTTCACCACTTTGATGCAGGATGTGGAACCAACGCATCATGACAGCAAGTGCTGTTCACAACCCTTGAGAGTCTTGCCTTAGCCATCACGAGCTTTTCTGGACTCCAAGCCGCATGAACTTTCCATTGTAGGAGATGTGCTAGTAAAGCACCTGCGACATGTACAGGGTGTTGGAACCTTTCAATATTGAAAGCATTTGGGGTTCCCAATGAGTGAGCCGGTCGGTTGCAATCATTCAGCATGAGCCGACGCTTGCACAGGCAAACTAACTGAAAGTATGCAAATGCAATTCAAAAAAGAATCAACAAAACAGATCAAAAAGGTACTGTATTATATAATTGTTATTCTACAGTTCTACCACACCCACTTGCGCATAGATCCCAGATCTCTAAGCCCTTCCACAGATTGTGGGGTACTAGAGGTTTGTCCATAGAAACGCATGAAGTGAGACGAACAGATCCTTAAGGGCATTGACAGGAAAGTGAGGTGCACCTGCGTGCTTTCAATTCCAAATTGAGCTACGCTTTCGGTCGACGCTGCTAATAGCATACTATTGGCACTTCAGGCCATGGCACTGTCTAGTTGTGTTGCCTGACGAACTGCATTGTCCCTTTCTTGTTGGAATGTGATCAATTCTGCATAGGACAATTCTGCACGCAAAAAATGTCAACTTAACAAACAAACTTGTTGTTTTGTAGTTTTTGTTTTTGACATGCCTTTTGTTTTGTTACGTTTGGTTCACTAGGGATGCATCTGGTTTAGGGGGGTGTTTTCAGACGAATCCAGATTTGGAGCTGGGGAATGACAGGGAAAATGAACAATCATATGAATGTTTCTTGCTACTTTGACTTTTGGATCAGCAGATGTTCCCTTTTTCTGATAGGAATTTCATCATTGGATTCGGACATTTTCGAGGAGACATTGAACAAACATGACATCAAAGTTGGGGAACCCAAAAGCTTTCGTCATTGAACATTTGCAATAACACCAATCCTAGACCCTAACAACCCTAAACTGAACTTAAGGAAGACCTTTCGATGATTTTCGATGAATCATTTAATAAGTCAGCAGAATGGATCCGCCACTGGATCCTGTTGTTCTCCGGATCCCGAGTCGGCATCGAGGCCGAGGCTGTTGTTGTTTTTCTTGTGGGGGGATGGGTGAAACACCAAACACACCACCATGTAGGGAGTGTTCCATGGATCAACCGCCCCAGATGTGGATCCACCGCCAGCCCAGGTTTGTGCGCGCATCAGCTGGTGGCAGTCCGCTGTGCGAATCTTGATGACCATGATGGAAGTGAAGATCCAGCCGATCCTTTGGCGGCTGAGGGACGGGGAGGGACGGGGAGGGATGGGGATGTCGGTAGGGGCCCATGACTGATGACAGTGATCATGGGGACACCCCTATAGGAAACCCCTTGGATTGGTTCTTTCAGCTTCCTGACAATGCATTCATATCCATCTCCATGCCTGCTTTTGGGGCAGGGAGAAGTTTGATTGGGCTTGGGTTCTGTGGTTCACCCCACTCATGAGTTTGTACTTGTGTTGTTTGTTCAGTTGATGGTGGGAGCCCATTGGTAAGCGTGTCCAGTGGTAAGCACATGTACATTTGAGGAACACCTTCAGCTTCAACGTGGTGATGAGATCAACGCGGCAATGGCAACTCTCTGTGACCTTGCTGGACACTATGCGGCTTTCTGAAGTGACTCCAGATGTGATCAGTTTCAATTCTGTCATCAACAGCTGCGAGAAAGGTGAAACATGGCGGCAGGCATTGTCCCTGTTCAACACCATATGGCATGCAGTTTTACAGCCCGACGAGTTAAGCTTTGCAGCAAGCATCAATGCTTGCAAGAAAAGTGGGCGGTGGCAGGAGGTCTTGAGTTTAATGAGCGAAATGATTTCTGTAAGCTTTCAGCCAGGGCTTTTGTGTTTCAATTCCGCCATTGGTTCCTGCCGGGGGGACAGCTGGGAAGCAGCATTGAACTTGCTGGATGCAATTCCTCGAGCTCAACTGCAGCCAGATGTCATTGGCTGGAATGCCGCCATATGTGCATGTGGCAACGACATGCAATGGCAATGGGCGTTGATCTTGTTTGATTCCATGGACTCTCTAAACATTGAACCCACTGCGGCTAGCTTTACGGCGGTCATTACATCATGCAGGAAGGGCACCAAATGGGAGGAGGCACTGGCTGTCTTTGACCTGATGCCAGAAGCAGACGTGCAGCCAAACCTTAAAGCGTTTACCGCCGTCATTACTGCATGTGAGGGGCAATGGCAGCAAGCATTCTCTTTATTCAAAACCTTGCCGAGTCGAAACATTCAGCCGGATTGGTTTGTGTTTGATGCTTTGATCACCTCCTTAGAGATGGGCAGTCAGTGGCAAGAGTCTTGGCTGTTGCTGAAGGCGCAGCAGGATGCGAGCATTCAGCCGGATGTTCAGCTCTTCTTCCGTGCGCTTGATTCTTGCAAGGAATGGCAGCAGGCACTTGCCAGGCTCAAAGCAATGGTCAGCAATGTGCTCCAGCCAGATGTTGTTTGCTACACCGCAGCGATCAGTTCTTGCCAAGAAGGCGAGCAATGGCAGCAGGCACTAGCCCTTTTCAACGCGATGCCCGTTGCAAAGGTTGCACCAGATGTTGTTTGCTTTGGTGCAGCAATCAGTTCTTGCAAGGAGAGTGGCCAGTGGCAGCAGGCCCTAGCCCTTTTCAATACAATGCCCTTCGCCGAGGTTCGCCCAAATGTTTTTTGCTTTGCTGCTGCGATCAGCACTTGTGCAAAAGCTGGGCAATGGCAACGCTCCCTGTACTTCGTTGATACCATGTCCAAAGCCTATGTCCCCCCTGACCTTGCTTTGTTCAATGCCATTCTCGCGAGCTTCAAACAAGGCGGCCATTGGGAGCTGGCGCTGGGTCAGTTTGAAGCCTTATGCAAATCTAGATTCAAGCCAGATGTGACCAGCCACAATTCCCTTCTAGCTTCTTGTGAGAATGGTGGGCAGTGGCAACAGGCATTGGCCTTCTTCAAGGCGATGTACGCGCAAGATTTGCGACCCGATTCATTGAGTTATGCTTCTGCGATGAATTCATGCGTGCTTGGTAAGCAGTGGCAATGTGCATTGAGTTTATTGGAACACATGAGAGCCACAAAGTCTCCGCGAGATAATGTCTCTTGCTCAAAGCAGTTTTTGTTGGGTTCAGGTCAGCGTTTGGGTGGGAAGTCATGGCAGTTCCTGGTTGTTTGTTTCCGTTGCGGAAGGTTAGCATATTGGGCATAATAATGCATAATATTTTTTTTAACTTTGGCACAGCCATATCAGGCAGATGTGATGGCGTTCAATCTTGCAATCACCACTTGTTGCAACTATGAGTTGTGGCAGGAGGCCTTGACTCTGTTTGAGTCGATGAGCACTTCAAGCATAGAGGCGGATGCTTGCTTGGCGGCCAACACAGAACATTTATTATTTTCCCGGTTGCCAAAGCAAATTTTGGATACCCTCCCTGCAACAAGCATGGAAGGGGAATGAAGTGGACAACCCCGTGTTTGTAAAGGACAATTGTCAAGGGGGGTTTAACAGAGCGGGATCGAGCCGTGCGATGTTGTGTAGAGGAATCTTTGCAGGGGCCATTGTGCGATGTTGGGTGTGCTTGTCATGTCAGCGCAATACTTCCGTTGGTTCCCTACGACTTGGCTTAGCCTACAGGATAAGCGTCTACACGTCGACGACTCAAAGCGTTCGTGACGACTCAACGACTCAGGACGTGAGCTCCTACAATGCTGCGATCAGCGCCTGGGGAATGGACGAGCAGTGGGAAAAGGCCTTGAACTTGATGCGATCCATGGAAGCTGCTGAGATGCAGCCGGATTCCTTCACCCATAGCGCCATGATCCATTCTTGCGGCCACCTGCACTGGGAACAGGCGTTGATGTTTTTTGAGAGGCTGGGTTCAACAGAAGACCCAACCATTTATTCGTACAGTAGTGCGATAGCTGCGTGTGGGAAAGCAATGCAGTGGCAGATCTCAATGAGCTTGCTGGATGCGCTGTGCGCACAACGTTTGCAACCCAACAGGCAATGTGTTGTTTCTGTGGCGGCTGCCTGCAAAGGAGGACAATGGGAGCGGGCCTTGGATTTTTTTGACACGGTGCGCTCGAGGGGGCTTGAACCCAACGCCGCCACATACAGCGCCCTGCTCGAGGTGATGTTGAGCGATTGAGTGTTCACAGCTAATAAAAATCACCACAAAATTAGGGCGTCCAAAGGGAGAGGGCTAAGAAAAAGAGAGATGAACAGAACAGTTGGTGTGGAGCTGGGTGTTGTACAGGTCTGTGGCTTTAAGCTTTGAGAAGGTTGCTATTCTATTTTTTCGGCCTTCAACAAGTTCAACAATTTGGCGTCAAGATCCAGCATGATCAAAGCATGGTCTCATTTGGGTGGTGGTTTCAGATGTTCAGATATTTTTATGCTCAACCTTTGGGAAGATTTGGCACTGGCTATTTAGCAGACTTCAGCCTTCGCCAGCAAAAATTGCCATTTGACAGAGGCTTGGGCATCGCTTGGGCATCGTGAAGATTGCTTCAATTGAGATGCAGCATTATGTTCCACATGTTGTTTGGATGGTGTTTATTGATGTTGCCACATGTGGAAGACGCTGTTTCAATGCTTCCTGTTATATACATACTTCTTCTATGTTTGTTGGTCATGTCCTTCCTGCCTTTGAGTTTGAGTTGATCCGTCAAGTTTATCCCAATGATACATGTTGCGTGGGTGGCCGAAATGGCCAACCAGACTAGGCCGTGAAATCTGATACCTAGTCCCTTTACCCTGCCCTTGGCCCCTCGTTGGGCAACGATTCAGTTTCCCAGGTTTGCTTGCGGAAAGGATGCCAATCTACTGCAAGTGGTTGACATTCTGCACTTCTGCACGCCTCTCGTGGTTCCCCAAATTTCCCCAAGGAAATCGATGTATTCTTGGATATTGTTTAGTTCTTCCTACTGGTCATTTGGTGGGCATGGAAAAGGGCCTCAAGATGTCTCAGGACTCGAGAGCAATTCACCTCATTTTCTCCTCGACCGCGAGGGGCCCTCAAGCTATATATGTCATTGGCATGGACAAACGGACCGTTAGCTGTTAGTTCATGTCCATCATCAGTGAGCCAATACTAGGGGTACATGTCAGTGGTTAATTCTGTTCTTCTTGCATGAGGTCTGCCGCCAACATCCAAGGGGTGAACGACCACTTGCGCACAGGGTCACTTGGACTGGCATTCACCAACAAAAACGCAACACCCAATGGTTGTTCTATGTGTTGTTCCTCTCCTGCCTTCACGATTTCAATATGTCCAATGGGTGCACCAACAAATGCAAAAACGTTTTGTTTGGTGATGTTTATATGATTGGGGATCACTACTAGGTTAGTTTCTACGGGAGGCTATGATGTAGCTGTGATAGACTCCCATTCTTGCAGTTCCTTGTGTTCTTTCCAGTCGTAGATGCTTGGAAGATTGCACCCAGGTAGCCGAAAACAATGGAAACCAAGGGAAGGTGTGGCCTTTTGCAGTCCCATCGACCAAGTCCACAAGGGAGTAGTCAAAAGTGATGTGTAGACAGGTCATGCCTAGAGGATGCTGAGATGAATTGAGTCCCTAAGTTGTAGGTACCAAGACACAAAAATTGGCGAGTTCTTTCTTTGGTTTCCCCGCAAAAAATGCATCAAAAGTCCTTGCTCAAAGAAGAAATGGAGCATTTGAGGGGTATTGAAGGGGGAAGTGCATTATACTCTTTATATTTTGAGAATCTTTATAATCTTTTTAGATAGATATATACATATATATTCATTTATTTGCTTGCTAGAATCCAAATGGTTATTTGAGAAGCGACAAGGCCCGGGGAAGATCAGTCTTTGGGTGGACCTCGGAGGTGCCGAAAAAGAGACCCTGGAGACCGACCGAAGCACCCAAAGATGGAATGGTGATCAATGTGATCCATCCCACCAGGAGTCACAAGTAAGGGGTCGTGTGGCTCGTCCCATCCGAGTGGGGCACCCCGACTACCTCCATGGAACGCACCCCGTCGAACGTGACTCCTGGTAGGTAGCTTCTTGTTACCTGGTAGCAAGAATGCTCCTAGTAGCGATACCAGGAGCCCCTAGTAGCATCCTTGCTCCTAGTAGTAAGGCCAGGAGCCCCTAGTAGCGAACCTTGTTACTGGTAGCTTCTTGTTACTGCAAATCCCAACTCCGGGCCTTGGTGTTTTCCCTCACCGACTTCTCGCTGAGGCTGGTGAAGCCTTGCTTTGGATCGCTGACCATCTCAGCTTCTTGTTTTCAGTTAAGCACCCGAAAACACCGCTCGAACGGTGGCCGGTTTAATGTAGAATGTAGACAGTATGGATGTTTAGTTGGATTCCACCAGGGGGTTGTGATGTGCTGATATGTGCTGATGTCTTTTTTGGGCGGGGCTAGACGCGATTCTAGACGATGGTTTCACTGTGTTTATCCCTGAACATGCATGATTTGATGTGATTTCTAGGCGAAACCCTTTAAAGCAGGTTTCCATTTTTGGAGTATCTCCTTCACGCATGGTCAACCTGGGCTAAACCAGCCATCTACTCTTTGAGGTTTGGATTCTGGATGGGTGGGGCTGGCTTTTTTTTGTTGTACCCAGTGAGTGGATAAGCTTTAGCCTTTTGGGGGATGGGCTTTCCCACAAAAAAAAGAACAGATGGAAGAAAGTTAACCTTTGCTGTCCAGAGAAGCTGAGGGAGTCAGCAGTGGCAAGAAGCCAGAAGCCCTCATTGTAGGCTTTCTGAAGGAGGACTCCTGTTGTAGAACCATTGGTTGCGCTTGGTTCATCTTGGTTCCTGAGCACAAATATATGTATATATATATATACGGTAATAGTAATACGTAAATATATATATATATGTATACAATTGTATACAGATCATGAAGATTCTTGAAGCAGGTTCCGAAGCTTGAGAAGAAAATACAAATGAGACATGCAATGGCACAACATGCAGAAAACATAAACCACTACAGACCATTTTTTGACATCGCGGGGTGATTTGGAAGAAGGAAACGCATATTATATATACACAACTGACAGACTATCCTGGCTGCATATTGGCATGGCATTGGGCATTTTCACACTCTTCCATTCATGTACTCTTTGACATTTGAGGCAGCATGTGTTGACCCCACATGACATAGATACCGACATACATCTGACATACTGGCTGACATACAGCCATGAGGCTGGCTCACGTACTGCTACATGAGCATCATCATGACTGACAAGTCTGGCTGAAACAAACAAGAAGGAGGAAAGCGGACAGCATGCGGAGGAAGGGGAGGAGATGACTGACTTAAAGCCTGCGGAACTCACATGAGTTACACAGATCAGACACCCACACAACTGCGCAAGCATTTCTCCAGGTGTGGATTAGTTCAGGAACTTGACCTAGAGTCTGTCCTTGGATTTTTTTGACCCACGGCCATTTCCCGTTCAAAAACGCCCTATGCCACTGACAATTGCTGACAGTTTTGGACGGTTCTGCCGCCCAGGTCCTTGTCTTCCTTGCCACCTTAGTGTACCGGAAGAAGGCGGTTTCGCGCGTGGGGCGGTGGTGCCGTGCACTGTTGGGGTGGGTAGCGGTGCCGTGGCAGCACCCTGGTGCCCCCCAAGCTCTACATGTATATAAGTAGTACGTGCATGTCCTGTGTGCAGCATGATTTTCGTATGGCAAATTGATGCGGGCTCGTGTGATGTTTGAAGTCGCGTCAACGAAAAATACCCAGACACTCCATGTATGGCATATTTAAATACATTGAGGTGGATTCAGGGGTCAATGTATGCATATATACCATACGTGCAGTGTCTCGGATACGGGGTGGGCGTCTTTGGGGCTATTGAGCGTAGTTTGACGTGTGGTAGGTGGTAGGAAGTACACCTTGGCCTGGTCAAACCTGCTAAGACAATCCTTCTGCATTCCACCAGCAGTTTCAATTGCACCCTGCAGCGGGGGCTTTAACTAACCCGAGGTGGACCAGAAGTTGGCTTTGGCACTGAATGTGGTGTGGGTGCTCAGTTAGTCCCTGCATGGCAAAGTGCAATTATATAGTTAATTTCTGCTGCGTGGAGTGAAGGATTCAAAAAAGAACTGGCAAGCCACAAGCCTGGCAACGTGCTGTGGTGAGACTTCAGGGAACTAGTAACTAGACAAGGTGAGCGAGAAGGATCCAAACTACGTGACGGGAATTGTCCTCTTCAACAAGTGACTAGCAGAGTCGAGTACTCTTTTTTCTATCGGAATGACTGCTTCCTCGAAGAACATCGAGTATTTCCCAATGTTGGGGCTCTTTGTGAGTTGATGGATGTGGCCCATGCCATGTTTGGTTTTGACAGGGTTGGCAAAAATTTGATACGACGCTGGGTGTGAGCCCACAAGTTCAGAAGCACATCAAACCCCACATCACAGGCTCCAATAATGACAACATAATGCCAACTATAGTTGAGTTGTGGCTTCTGATCTTCGAGAAGATCCCTTACAAGCCATATCGTCTATTACGGTGACGCTTGCATAGATAGACAAGTCCACCCCCAGATCAAACAATCGAACACTTGTTACAAACTATGGGAAGTGCTGAGGCTACACTCCAGGAGAGCAAGATACCCCTAGAAGACCATGCTCGACTGCAAGATCATTGTTATCATGTTCTAGTTGAGTTTGCGCAAAAAATGTGTTTGTTTAATGAAATATTATGGATAAGATCAAGGTGTACTGCATATATCATTATATAATATACCACATTACTAAAGTACGTCAAAGAGTAAGGGAAGCAAATGACTTTCACAAGGTGTTTAAGACAGGGGGTTTAGATATGGATTTATTTATTGCCGGGCCGGGTGGTTCATAGTCAAGCTTGTGGGATAAGGATGTAGCTCTGTATAAAAGAATGGGTGTAAGACCATGTACTGAAGAGCCAAGTTTGGAAGTCTGAATGGCTCGAACAAAGCGAGAACAGGAGGGACCATGAAGAACCGGTGAAGAACTCCAGATAGAAAACGACATGCTGCGGACCAGAAAAAGAATGCTGAACTCTCAGCGGCAAAGTGTGTGGACGTCCAGAACTCGTGGCTGGGACCCTGCTGAGGGACATTTTGAGTCAGAGGAGCTTAGAGCTGCTTAGCTGGTGCACCTGAGGTGCTGGCCAGCGTCGGGCCATGGTTGATCCTTTACTATCACAAGCTGGTGGATTTCGATGAGCGAGGCTCCCCAGCTGGTCACTTGTAGCGATTCTTTGGAATATAGGTGGGCCAAAACCAGGGAACCCGGGGTGACCACCAAAAATGACCAGAATAGACTACTATAGGGAGGTCAACCTACCAGGAATTGCAGCTCCGTGTTTTGACTCACAGCCATATAGGACACCACATAGTTGGCGATCCTGGTGTGATAAGGTGATAGACTGGATAGACTGGATAGTAGATGTGACCCACTTGGTACAGGGCTTCTTCCAAACACATGTCTAATGTTTCTTCTTGGGAGTGGAGAATCGTTTTCTTGTGGGACCATGTTTGTTGGGTTTCTCAACTTAGTGGTTTTGCGGATACCTACACGTAGCTGCAGATTTCTACGAAGGATTCCCAAAAAGAGTCACCCGGT